GTGAGGAGGAGGTCGGGGGATGGTGGTGGGATGTGTATGTAGAGATGGGGGCACAATATGTAAAGGACATGGGGTAAGATATGATGGAATGAGGGGGTGAGGAGGAGGTCGGGGGATGGTGGTGGGATGTGTATGTAGAGATGGGGGTACAATATGTAAAGGACATGGGGTAATATATGATGGAATGAGGGGGGTGAGGAGGAGGTCAGGGGATGGTGGTGGGATGTGTATCCTCTCCCTTCACCCTCCTTTACCTCCCGTCTCTTTCTCCCTCATGTGCTGCCTCTCCCCTTACCTAGCATCTCGCCCTGCCCGATGCCTCTCCCCTCCCTCACCTGGCATCTTGCCCCTCCCCCTTTACTTGATGCCTCTTCTTCTTTGTCAGGCTCTTGTTACACTCTTAAAAGGGGAACGTTTTGGTTGTCTGGATTCTATCATCATCTACTGTACACGAAGGGAGGAGACCCAGCGCTTGGCAGCATTGCTCCGTACGTGCTTGCAGGGGGTGACAGTGAGTCGTACAGCAGAAGAGACTAAGGCGGCGGAGTGTGACAGGAAGAAGATTCAGGGTAGGAATAAGAGATCATTTCTGATTATTGTCACCAACGCAGAATAATTCTGAATTCTAATATGGAAATGATTATTTCTTCTCGCAGCAAGGAAGAAGATTCGTCGCCCACTGAAGTGGATGGCGGATACTTACCATGCGGGATTGTCAGCTGCTGAGAGGCGGCGAGTACAAAACAACTTCATGAGTGGTCAGCTGCGAATCGTTGTGGCTACTGTGGCATTTGGGATGGGTCTGGATAAATCTGATGTGCGAGGGATCATCCACTACAATATGCCGAAAAACTTTGAGAGCTACGTCCAGGAAATTGGCAGAGCTGGGCGGGACGGCAATGATGCCCACTGTCATCTCTTCCTAGACCCCCATGTAAGTCTTCCAGTATAAAAAGTGTGGCCTCTGTTCGCTCTCGCCGGTTCTCCTTCCTGTGAGGCCTCTCCGGTATAAAGCCGGTACTCCTTCCTGTGAGGCCTCTCCAGTATAAAGCCGGTACTCCTTCCTGTGAGGCCTCTCCGGTATAAAGCCGGTTCTCCTTCCTGTGAGGCCTCTCCGGTATAAAGCCGGTTCTCCTTCCTGTGAGGCCTCTCCGGTATAAAGCCGGTACTCCTTCCTGTGAGGCCTCTCCGGTATAAAGCCGGTTCTCCTTCCTGTGAGGCCTCTCCGGTATAAAGCCGGTACTCCTTCCTGTGAGGCCTCCAGTATAAAGCCATTTCTCCTTCCTGTGAGGCCCCTCCAGCATAAAGCCGGTTCTCCTTCCTGTGAGGCCTCTCCGGTATAAAGCCGGTACTCCTTCCTGTGAGGCCTCTCCGGTATAAAGCCAGTTCTCCTTCCTGTGAGGCCTCTCCGGTATAATGCCGGTTCTCCTTCCTGTGAGGCCTCTCCGGTATAAAGCCGGTTCTCCTTCCTGTGAGGCCTCTCCGGTATAAAGCCGGTACTCCTTCCTGTGAGGCCTCTCCGGTATAAAGCCGGTACTCCTTCCTGTGAGGCCTCTCCGGTATAAAGCCGGTACTCCTTCCTGTGAGGCCTCTCCGGTATAAAGCCGGTTCTCCTTCCTGTGAGGCCTCTCCAGTATAAAGCCGGTTCTCCTTCCTGTGAGGCCTCTCCGGTATAAAGCCGGTTCTCCTTCCTGTGAGGCCTCTCAGCTAGGGTTGCCACCTGTCCAGGATTCACCCGGACAGTCCAGGTTTTGAATGCTGTGTCCGGGTTTCATTGCAGCAGAAACCCGGACACAAGATGTCATACAGACGGGCAACCAAAATTTAAGATAGGGGATACTGGCCCCCCACTGGAAATAGTCTCAACTGTGATATTTACATATGAATGGGTGACACTATTTACATATAAATAAGCCACTACTCATTCTCCCCCAAAAAATGTCAGCGCGTTGCTAGGTGTTCGGGTTTTGCTTCAAGAAAAGGTGGCAACCCTACTCTCAGCACTGACCAATGGTTTGGACTGGAGCTTGAATGTTCTCAGAAGGGGTGGAGGTCTATCACCTGTCATGTTGTAGTGGAGGGATGGTTTCTGGGGCTAGCCAGCTAATGGGGTTGCAGAATGGGGTAGTCTGTCCAGCCACAGAACTTTCCTGCTCTGTTCCCTTTTATTATACGACTCATCTGGTGAGGTTTCATGACACAATTCTTGTTGATCATGAATCATTTGGCAGAAACTAGTATTATTTATGCAATTAGATTTGTAGCCGGTTACATCTATGACATGTTGGTTCTACTGGACTTGCCAAGAGTGGAATACAAGAAACTAGGACAGAAAGGGAGCAGTTGCCAGTAGCAACCAGACTCCTGTCTTCCCTTTTAGGGATTATAATTGGTTGCTGCTTAAATTAGCCCTTGTTTGTTTCAGTCCCAGGATTTGGACGAGCTGCGCAGGCATGTGTATGCCGATTCTGTGGAATACATTACAGTTAAGAAACTAGTCCAGAGAGTCTTTCCGAAGTGCAAGTGTCGGGACTTCCAGAAGAAGCGCGAGGCTCTGAGGAGGGTGAGATCTGAGTTTTTCTCCCTTCTACATTCCACATTATTTTGAGGGTGGGTTCCTTTGAGTTGGGGCTGTGCTGGCCGATGTTTCCATTGCAGCCCCAACAAGGCAATTTGCCTTGTCACGGATAACCTTGGCTCACAACATTGGAGCACACGGGAGTTGCGGTGATGTGTCCTGGAAAGAAAAAGTCCAGCTTCCCCTAACCGCCCATGATTGTGGCTAGATAAAGATAAATCATAACAAACAAACACACATAGCACAGTTCCTAATCCACAACCCTCGGCCATCACACAATATATCCGATATAAGTTCTATTATTCATCAGTTAGAACCATAGTCCATACGTGTCTCCTTACCTTTGGTCTGTTGTAGTTCTATGGCCCAATGTGATTTAGGGTTGCGGATCAAGCTGGAACCGGAAAGAATTTTATACTCTTGTCCAGAGAAAAAGTTTTTTATTATTCAGTATTTGAATACAGAATATGAAGCTGTGTATGAGCATAGTTTAATATCCTATCCTCTGCTTTTATTTCCTCACCATCTCCTGACTGCAGGGTTGTGAGCTTGATGATGATGAAATGTTGGATATCCTGGCACAGTGTGAAGGAGAGGAAGAGACAGAGGAGAGACCTCCAGCTATGGAGAAATCAGTGGAGCGGATGTGCCATAGACATGAGCGTGTTCTTCCTATAGAGGAGACCGTGCAGGCGCTGGATGTCCGGGAGGAAGGTGAGCTGCTTATAGCTGCCATTTCCCACATTGTTCTTCCAATGTTTATCAGCAAATTTAAATGGCCAAAAGTCTAAAGCTGGCCATACACAAGGCTGAACGAGAGAAATCTTCCACTTCCCACATCCACGCTAATCAGCAGAGATGGAGGATTCTCCCCTGCCTTTGGGTATTGGGACTATTGGGTCTATCCCACCTCAAACTAACCACTCAACCATCACGTTCTCAAACAATTTATCCCGAAACTGCTCCCTCCTCATGTATCACTTGCACCTCCCTTCTAGATTCTAAGCCCTCAGGGGCCCGGCCTTCCTTACCATCTTGTCTTGAATTGTATTGTGATTATAATGTCTTCCTTATATTGTACAGCGCCGCGCACACTGTTGGTGCTATATAAATCCTGTATAATAATTAATAATTGTATCCTCGTACTCTGGATATTGGATCTATTCCCCCTCAATAATTGTATCCTCGTACGATTATAATGTCTTCCTTATATTGTACAGCGCCGCGCACACTGTTGGTGCTATATAAATCCTGTATAATAATTAATAATTGTATCCTCGTACGATTATAATGTCTTCCTTATATTGTACAGCGCCGCGCACACTGTTGGTGCTATATAAATCCTGTATAATAATTAATAATTGTATCCTCGTACGATTATAATGTCTTCCTTATATTGTACAGCGCCGCGCACACTGTTGGTGCTATATAAATCCTGTATAATAATTAATAATTGTATCCTCGTACGATTATAATGTCTTCCTTATATTGTACAGCGCCGCGCACACTGTTGGTGCTATATAAATCCTGTATAATAATTAATAATTGTATCCTCGTACGATTATAATGTCTTCCTTATATTGTACAGCGCCGCGCACACTGTTGGTGCTATATAAATCCTGTATAATAATTAATAATTGTATCCTCGTACGATTATAATGTCTTCCTTATATTGTACAGCGCCGCGCACACTGTTGGTGCTATATAAATCCTGTATAATAATTAATAATTGTATCCTCGTACGATTATAATGTCTTCCTTATATTGTACAGCGCCGCGCACACTGTTGGTGCTATATAAATCCTGTATAATAATTAATAATTGTATCCTCGTACGATTATAATGTCTTCCTTATATTGTACAGCGCCGCGCACACTGTTGGTGCTATATAAATCCTGTATAATAATTAATAATTGTATCCTCGTACGATTATAATGTCTTCCTTATATTGTACAGCGCCGCGCACACTGTTGGTGCTATATAAATCCTGTATAATAATTAATAATTGTATCCTCGTACGATTATAATGTCTTCCTTATATTGTACAGCGCCGCGCACACTGTTGGTGCTATATAAATCCTGTATAATAATTAATAATTGTATCCTCGTACGATTATAATGTCTTCCTTATATTGTACAGCGCCGCGCACACTGTTGGTGCTATATAAATCCTGTATAATAATTAATAATTGTATCCTCGTACGATTATAATGTCTTCCTTATATTGTACAGCGCCGCGCACACTGTTGGTGCTATATAAATCCTGTATAATAATTAATAATTGTATCCTCGTACGATTATAATGTCTTCCTTATATTGTACAGCGCCGCGCACACTGTTGGTGCTATATAAATCCTGTATAATAATTAATAATTGTATCCTCGTACGATTATAATGTCTTCCTTATATTGTACAGCGCCGCGCACACTGTTGGTGCTATATAAATCCTGTATAATAATTAATAATTGTATCCTCGTACGATTATAATGTCTTCCTTATATTGTACAGCGCCGCGCACACTGTTGGTGCTATATAAATCCTGTATAATAATTAATAATTGTATCCTCGTACGATTATAATGTCTTCCTTATATTGTACAGCGCCGCGCACACTGTTGGTGCTATATAAATCCTGTATAATAATTAATAATTGTATCCTCGTACGATTATAATGTCTTCCTTATATTGTACAGCGCCGCGCACACTGTTGGTGCTATATAAATCCTGTATAATAATTAATAATTGTATCCTCGTACGATTATAATGTCTTCCTTATATTGTACAGCGCCGCGCACACTGTTGGTGCTATATAAATCCTGTATAATAATTAATAATTGTATCCTCGTACGATTATAATGTCTTCCTTATATTGTACAGCGCCGCGCACACTGTTGGTGCTATATAAATCCTGTATAATAATTAATAATTGTATCCTCGTACGATTATAATGTCTTCCTTATATTGTACAGCGCCGCGCACACTGTTGGTGCTATATAAATCCTGTATAATAATTAATAATTGTATCCTCGTACGATTATAATGTCTTCCTTATATTGTACAGCGCCGCGCACACTGTTGGTGCTATATAAATCCTGTATAATAATTAATAATTGTATCCTCGTACGATTATAATGTCTTCCTTATATTGTACAGCGCCGCGCACACTGTTGGTGCTATATAAATCCTGTATAATAATTAATAATTGTATCCTCGTACGATTATAATGTCTTCCTTATATTGTACAGCGCCGCGCACACTGTTGGTGCTATATAAATCCTGTATAATAATTAATAATTGTATCCTCGTACGATTATAATGTCTTCCTTATATTGTACAGCGCCGCGCACACTGTTGGTGCTATATAAATCCTGTATAATAATTAATAATTGTATCCTCGTACGATTATAATGTCTTCCTTATATTGTACAGCGCCGCGCACACTGTTGGTGCTATATAAATCCTGTATAATAATTAATAATTGTATCCTCGTACGATTATAATGTCTTCCTTATATTGTACAGCGCCGCGCACACTGTTGGTGCTATATAAATCCTGTATAATAATTAATAATTGTATCCTCGTACGATTATAATGTCTTCCTTATATTGTACAGCGCCGCGCACACTGTTGGTGCTATATAAATCCTGTATAATAATTAATAATTGTATCCTCGTACGATTATAATGTCTTCCTTATATTGTACAGCGCCGCGCACACTGTTGGTGCTATATAAATCCTGTATAATAATTAATAATTGTATCCTCGTACGATTATAATGTCTTCCTTATATTGTACAGCGCCGCGCACACTGTTGGTGCTATATAAATCCTGTATAATAATTAATAATTGTATCCTCGTACGATTATAATGTCTTCCTTATATTGTACAGCGCCGCGCACACTGTTGGTGCTATATAAATCCTGTATAATAATTAATAATTGTATCCTCGTACGATTATAATGTCTTCCTTATATTGTACAGCGCCGCGCACACTGTTGGTGCTATATAAATCCTGTATAATAATTAATAATTGTATCCTCGTAGTCGGGATTTCGGGTCTATTTCTTGGATATTGATGATCATTTAATAATATTTTAGGTAATAATTCTTCTCGTCTCGTACTCTGGATATTGGATCTATTCCTCATCAATAATTGTATCCTCGTAGTCGGGATTTCGGGTCTATTTCTTGGATATTGATGATCATTTAATAATATTTTAGGTAATAATTCTTCTCGTCTTGTTTTTCAGGTCTTGAGACTCTTCTTTGCTATCTGGAGCTCCATCCTTCTCATTGGTTGGAGCTGCTTTACCCCACCTTATCCGTGTGCCGTGTGACATGCTACAGTGGCCCTCAGCAGCTGCGTGCCCTTGCCCACAGGTAATCTTATACCCCCTGTTCTATCTGTTCTATCTGTTCTATCTTTTTATCTGTTCTATCTTTTTATCTGTTCTATCTTTTTATCTGTTCTATCTTTTTATCTGTTCTATCTTTTTATCTGTTATATCTTTTTATCTGTTATTTTTTTAAATTTTGGTTTTCAAATGATTGCACAAAATAAAAGGTGGTTTTGGGGCCCCCATACAACATTTTGCTAGGGGGCCCTGTGATTTCTAGTTACTTGCATGTACCCATCTTTCCTGAGCATCAATGCTTCCTGCGCTTTGCATTGGGGCTTCTGAACTTCCAATTTGTTCTCTGCAGCTTGGATCTTCATTGTGGTGCTGGCTACAGTCTTGGCCCTCTTAGGCTCTCAAGGTGTCCTAATATTGGGGTACTTGGGCGACCTCCTTTAGAAAGGGCTCCGCATGAATGTGTGTCCCTGTCTTTCCTGATGTCACAGAGGTTCAGATGAATGGAATATCTAAATCTGATCCTGAGCTCTTGCTGGACCAGGGTGTTCTGTCCCCAGCTTCAGACTCTCCGGTTCATGTGCTCCGATCCAGGAACAGTCTGACTTTCTTCTTCTGCATGAGAGTCTTTGGCTGATGATAACCTCCTTCAAGGCAGTTCCATTCCATGATATTCTGACCCGGTATGATCTCTTCCAGACTGTCCGGATGTTCTGTTTCAAGGACTGACTGGCTTTAGGGGCATGACTGTTGAACCCCAAGATTAGGATAAAGGGTCATCTCTGTGATGCTGAAGGCTACAAAGTCTTCTTCCTGCAAGGTCTACCATCGGACATGGAAAGCATGTACTTTACTTTGTGTGAGTCCAGGAGCTTCTCACTGGGATGAATGTTATACTTTTTGCACATGGGTGTAGGCCAACGTCTAGCCCAAGGCACCATCAAGGGCTGGATCTCTGGACTTGCTATTCTGCTCCAGAGACCATTGGCTTCCCACTCTATGATCAGAACTATTCTGTTCCGTGTGCTTTCCCCAGTCAAATCTCCTCTTCCTCCGCGGGATTTGAATTTCATCCTCATGGTACTTATGAAACCCATTTAAACCTGTTAGAGACACTTCTCTATCTAGTCTGACCCACAAGACTGTTTTCCTTGTAGATATCATCCTGGATAGGTCAGTCCCTGAACTGTCAGCCTTGTCTTTTAAGGAACCCTTTTTGGTCAAGATGGTGTTGAGTCCTAGGCCTTCCCTCCTTCTAAGTTGTTCTCTGCCCTTCACATTAACCCTGACATTGTCCGTGTGTCTAGCTCCAGCTCACCAGAAGATATCTCTCCTTTGTCTGGATGTGGCTCAGGCCGTGCACGTTTATATCTGCCACGCTTCTGCTAGTAAGACGCATTTCTTTTAGTTATTCTGGATAGGCCCAAGGAGGGCACCTCATCTTCTCATTCCACCATTTCTTGGTGGCTCAAGCCGACCATTATTCAGACTTACTTTCTCAAGAATCTGCTTTCCAGTTAAGGCTTTTGGGGCATTTCTGCATCACGCCTCCATTTCTCAGGTTTGTAAGGCTCTGACATAGAAAACAATCCAGAAATCCAACTGAACTTTCAAGATGACAGTTCACTGAGGAACCACATCAAAAACACACCAATTTTACTAGGGAAGACAGGCCCTCTTTTATTTTAAGGTGACACACAGGTGTTTGGCTTTTTTTTCTCTGTGTGGATCTGCACAGTGTAACCATTTAGCCAAGCGCTCGCCCCTACATATGGGTTATAGAGGTTTGTGTGGTGTGGTTTGATGTATCGTAGGGTTGTTTGATGTCCACCTGATCTTCTGTACACATAGGGGTCTATTCACAAAGCTGCCGAAGGATCTGGCCGTAGCTTCGGCCAATCCTTCGGCTGGCTTCGGCCCCAGGAACCCTTCGGTTCAGGAGATCTCCTTCTGCACTTCGGGTCAGCCGAACATGCTGAGCATGTTCGGCTGATCCGAAGCCACACGAAGTCAGCCGATGTACGGCTGAAATCAGCCGTACCAGCCTGAAGTGAATAGCCGAACAGTGTTCGGCTCACTTCACTTCTGATTGGTCATTCACTCGGCTGCCCTCGGCAGCTTTGTGAATAGACCCCATAATCTCTAAATGTTACCACATGGACGTTTCTGCCGCATCTGATGCTAGCTTCGAGTTGCAGGCCCTCCCTTGTACTTTATCTTCATTGAGCCTGTTAGTTGTTTTTTGACTGTGTTGCCCACCACTCAGTTGGACTGCTTTTGGATTTCCTGAAAATTTCGGAATTCATGTGTCCTTTACTGGATTTAGAAAAAAGGATTTACGGTGGGTCGAGAAATCCTATTTGTACCTTCAAATGTTTTATTCATTTTATATAGTTTATAATCTCTAAATGTATCTGACAATTTAATAAATACAGTAGATGGCAAGATAAAAGCCTCTGCAGCCTGGAGGTGGTGCTGTTCATAGTCAGCCTGGAGGTGGTGCTGTTCATAGTCAGCCTGGAGGTGGTGCTGTTCATAGTCAGCCTGGAGGTGGTGCTGTTCATAGTCAGCCTGGAGGTGGTGCTGTTCATAGTCAGCCTGGAGGTGGTGCTGTTCATAGTCAGCCTGGAGGTGGTGCTGTTCATAGTCAGCCTGGAGGTGGTGCTGTTCATAGT